CCGCATAGCCGCTCTTTAGTGTAGATGCATGTTGATTTTATCAGACGATGCCGCGATTATAAATGAGAGTGACTCCTGGTTAACATGCATTAAAAGGGGTCGTGTTTAGTCACTATTTAGTGTGGTATTTTTTGACAATATCCACTCATCATGACAGTAAAATAGGGCATTCTAAGTCAATATACTGCAGTATTTCCTCTCTCAATCAGTAGAAAATATGGTTAACACCCGGTCATGCATGGAAAAAAATAATACTGTCATGTACCGTGAAACCGGTATAATTTTGAAAAATACCGTGATATAAATTTTTGGTCATACCGCGCAGCACTACTACAAAGTATCGAAAAATATACTCAAGTACAGTAACTAATTACATTTACTCCAATACTTTACACCTCTGACCACGATGCATCTTAATTTGTGTTCCGAAGATGAGCGAAGGTCTTTTTGAATAGTCATGAGCTTGAGTAATTTATGACAGAATTTTCATTTTTGGGAGAACTATCACTTTAAATAATAGACGTTTTCTTTAAAGTTGTCTTTTTGACATTATTCATTTGATTTTTGATTGGATCTCCAGCTATCAAACTGACTTCCATTAAAAACACCATCTAACTTTCAAACTTTCAATCAGCTGCTTCACTGAAATCGCATTGGATAATTATTCTCACTTGAGTCGTCATAGCGACGGAACCATACAGCGCCATTAATCATGAATCTCTAATGGCCACTAAGCTGAGGCCTTGTCACTTCTCCAGCTCAGCAGGAGGCCTGGGCCCACAGTGTCTCTCTGTGCCCAGGAGGGTGGTGGGTGTCTAGGTAGAGGAAGATGAGCTCCTGGAGAGCTGAGTTAGTGAGGTGTAGAGCTGAGTGGCTCTGCAGGAGATGAATGAGATGAAATTAAGTCATTAGTCACATTTATCCGTATGGCTCACATTTACCCAAAACAATTTTCACTGGACTGTCTTCAACAGAACTGTTGTAAATGTGCGTAAATGAAGGAAAAACATTCTCACGAGTTACTTGTTTACTTAAAGGGATTGTTCACCCAAAACATCATTTACTCACCATCATGCCATTCCAAACCTGTATGAATTTCTTTGGTTTGGATTTGGAACAACATGATGTTGAGTAAATGACACATTTTTCATTTTTGTTGGAGCTATCTCTTATTCTGTCTCTTATAAATTTTGTGTTTGGATTCAGAGCCTCATTTTCCGCTGCATATTTGCTCATTTACATATTCTGCCTAACATTCTCAAACTCTGCACACAATAGCTATGTTTCCATACAAAGTTACGAATTAACCTTATGGGCAAAATTGGAATATCGAATAAAACAACTGCGAATAAAGCACTGTTTCCATCCAGTGAGCTGAAGAGAACATAATCTTCACTTCCTGAACTTGCGCTAAATAGCACAAAGAAAAAAATTTAATTTGCTGCAGTAGGAGAAGGCACTGTATATAATAATTTTTGTATACAATAAATTATGAGCTGCAGAGCGTGCAGGCGAAATGAGGTCATGTTATCTTATTTTCATAGCCTGATGTTTGGGAATGCAAACTCCAATGTTCTGGGAGTTAATTATAACGAAGCACTTTGACGAGACTTTGCTCAAGCATTTTAGAATGACAAAACTAGCATTTCAGATGCTGTGCAATGAGATCGGTCTGTTGGTTGGTCCAGTTTTATGCTGTCCCATTGCAAAGTCACATCTTTTTTTTGATCCACATTAAGGAATTTATTCGGCAAAATGTTTTTTTACCGAGAAAACAGAAATTTATCAGACTTAGTTGAGCGTGTAAGTTTTTAATGTGCATTTTTAAAATTGATGCGCATCTTGGTGTTTCCATCCTGCGTTTTTTTTATGCGATATCCCAAAATGCACATAAAAATAGTTGGATGGAAACATAGCTATTGTTAAAGTATCATAAAATATTACAGTTTAGCTTCTGAAGGTATAGGTTCCATTGTCCCCAAGGCAACAGAGTGCCATGGTAACGAAAGACTCCTTGGAGACCATGTTTGGTGGCTTTGCTCTTCTGTCTGAGATAAACTGTAAATCCCCACAGTCTCTTCGCTGTACTACAAATGTCTTCAAACTCTCAGTAGAGCCCTTGACAAAGTCTCTGCAGGCCAGATCTGCTGCACACAGTATGTTCGAATCAAAATAAAACCCTGAACCATGTGAATCACACCTTATTTTTTTGTACCAGAATATTGTTTACATAAAGCTTGAAAATCAATTTGGAATAGGTATTAAGTTGTATGGAGGTTAAGTTTTTTAATATTAGCTTGAGGAACGGCGGGAGGGTTAGAGTGAGCAGAGGCGGCAGGCTTGAGAACAGCGTGGCCGGTGATTTCGACGAAGGAGCGTCCAGAAGGACATGTGACGACTCCGGGCTGGACTCCGCTTTGTCCACGGTGAAAGCCGATCTGGCGATCCACAGTGCAAAGTTGTTGTATTTCCTCAGCAACCAGCACGGATCAGCTCCAGGCATGACGAAGCAGATATTGTCCTCTTTTGGAAGACCAAACAAAGTAGTTTCGCTTTCACAACGAAGCACACAGTGTCTTTACGACATGGCGGCGGCAACAACAAAACTACAGCGAGAATAAAAGTTACGCCTTCTTTCTTTGCGTGAACATTTGGGCAGCGTTATGCAAATCTTCCCACATAGCAACGTAGACATGTGGGGGCGTGTTAGAACGAGGCGTTTTAGGTAGGTGTGGCTGACTCTTAACTTTTATAAAGAATATCTCTTTGGATTTGAGACTTTAGTCTTTGCAACTTTACAGATCTTCTTTATGCACCAGGAGCTTGTAACACTCCAAAGAGAAAGGAAAAATTGAAATAGCATCATATGACCCCTTTAAGTGACAAACTAAGAATGGGGTTGTGGACTCTGAAGTGATGTTTTTGCTTTCAGAATGAATCCTCATTTGAAGCACATGAAGCTTGTTTTCAAAGCTACATTCACCCAAAAAATGAAAATTCTTGTCATCATTTACTCACCCTCATGTCGTTCCAAACCTCTATGACTTTCTTCGTTTTAACTGGTGTGTAAGCTGCTGTTTTCATACTTGGAAAGTGGATGGGTATATTTACTGGGGGAAAAGCGCTATAATGGTTACCATCATCAAAGTTGTTCACAAGCCACATAAGTGATTTGACAGATGTGCAGAAGCTACTGTATAGCTTCAGAAGACTACAGTGTTTTTTTTTGCCTTCCTTTTGGATAATCACAAATTGAACTAGAATACATTGAAATTATCTCTTCATATGTAAAGAACAGAAATTATAAAGGTTTGGTACAACATAAGGGAGAATAAATGACACAACATTTTTTTTTAGGTTAACTAACCCTTTAAGCTCTCAGAGCTCTGATTTGATATAAGCCACAATTGTCAT